TAGAAGCAGAAGACACGATTAAACTTTGCATAATAGTGTGCCTCGACGGGTTACGAATCCCGGATGTACTGAGTACCGGTCCCTCGCACTATCAACTGAACCAGCAAGGACTGAGGATCAGGTGCGCATTTTAATACATGACTTCTGATTGGTTCGCGATGTATTGCCAATACGCTCACCGTATCTGTCCTGGTGTTGCAGATTGAATCACTCACTCGGCACTTCCCAACGAACGGAAGTATCGGTCCTTCTGGTGTTAAAACGGCGCTGGGATATTTATATTGTTAATAAGCTCACAGTATCTGGATCCATAAACAGTACACTACTCACAAAACCACCAATAATCTAAATTTGCCATCGCCCATTGAACAGCTGGAGGACAGATACTTCAGTTCATTGGGAAGTGACGAGTTATTGAGCCAATCTGCAACACCAGGACAGATACTGTGAACCAAGTAGAAATTGCGCCACTGATACTCAGTTCTGGGTAGCTCAGTTGGTAGAGCTACGGACCGGTAACCCGCACAACTAGGGTTCATATTCCTCGTCGAGGCAGATTATTGTGCAAAGTTGAATCGTGGCTTCTACTTCCTACAAACATTACACTACTCACAAAACCACCATTAATCTAAGTATATATTTGCTGCAAATCCAAACAATTAAATGACAAATATCACCAAATGATCATAGTTAGAGTGTGGTGTTGTGATGTATCGACCGATACAAATCGATTAAAGCAATCTAGGGAAATATTGCGCATTACATGAACCGAAGCGTATTAGGGAGCATGCCATCTACGGATAATGCCAAAATCAAATTTTAATGAAGTTATGACCAATTTGATAAAGACACACAAGGGTCAGGCGTCCTGATAATTCGGCAGGAAATAAGCAATATAAATTAAGGGGGAACAGTCCGTTGTAGACCGGACATTTGCAAATTTATCTGCGCAAAAGTTAAACTAAATTTCTTAAATCAATTTACAGTTGGGCGACCAGCGTGAATGGATAAAATGGCTGTTGAGTTCGATGGCTGCTATCGAACAGCGCCACTACTTTGTGCTAGTCTTGTTTGCAACTTCTGAGTGCCCTAAGAATAGTAGCTGTTTTCGTCTTCCAAGCTAGCACACCAATTTTATAGTTAGACCAGAAGGGAATTTTTACGGTACAAACTAATTGCTTCCCTGCAACGTGAACATCTTTGAAAACGTTACCCATGCGCTTCCTTGATGAGTGACCACGAATCCGGAAGTAACTTAACGCTGAATATTTCTATATTTTCTCCGATAACTTCTTTCAATATATTGCCCTTTAATATTAGGTTTAATTTTGTCTACGCTAACCTTATTGGTACCCGTTCTTTTACTTTGGATTCCGTAGATAATAAGTTGGTGTCGTCCATAGGTAATGCTGCATCTGACGGTGTCCAAATAATTGGGACACAGATCTCCATCCATTGTTTGCACATAAAGATATATTTGGACAACCAAAAATTACTACACACTACGCTAGTTATAACAGCTTACGGTTTTAGTTTTAGTCTTAGTTGTAGTTTTAGCCTGGATGTTAAGTATTCTATCCGACCGGATGCATCATTAGTAACATTTGCCAACGGACCAGTTTAGCCGTTAACACACTCGTGAAAGGGGATAAATATATTTACAGAAATGTATTTGAACCATCATCTATGCTAGTAAACGATATGTTCAAAATGTTCGCCGGCGTTCTGTTTGCAGTGCAAAAAGCACTTGATGCAATTGCCGAGAAGGTTCTTCAATATTTCCCTCGTGATCGCGCGACATTCGTTCGAAATATTTGCCTTCAATTGGTCCAATATACTCTGGCTTGTTTTCACACTGGACGCTTCAGATTGCCCCATGGCAGAAAGTCCATGGGGCTCAAATTTTGTGAGCGACCAGGCCACTCCATTGGTCCACCACGTTCGATCCAATGGTAGACAAATTTGTCGATGACGTAAGCACGCAACGTATTAACCGAATGTGCAGATACACTATGCCGCATGCGCCTTCGACCTCCAACTGGGGAAGCACAAATGTTCACAGCATTTCCAAATACGGCGATGCTAGAAAAAAGATAAGCCTTAAGTACTTCGAAACAACAACCTACCGGTCACATACCCGGAAAAGAAACATGGACCCAAGATATTCTGACTTAATGCAGCTAATTCATCATCGCCCACTCCCAATCAGCAGGATTATGCCAATCCGGAAAAGCACCAGACGCCGGCGTTTCGACCTTTTGGGTCTCGTCATTGGTGCGCCTGCTGGCACCCTGAAGTCGTGGGGGCGGAATCCGGCAGGGTTCCGCTGGGAGACGCACCACTGACGAGACCCAAAAGATCGAAACGCCGGCGTGTGGTGCTCTTCCAGATTAGCCTAATCCTGCTGTTTGGGAGTGGGCGATGATGAATTAGCTGCATTATACCAAAATCCTCACTACTCATTAGTACAATAATATTCTGACTTGTTACTCCAGCCCAAACAATCAGTTGTACACTATGATGCATACGTGATGCGGTAGCTTTTCGTGGGTTGCTGACAACCCAAGTGTGATATTGCATTGTTCCATGCAGATGAAACAATGCCTCATCGGTGAAGATAACAGAACGAATATCCCCGTGATCTAGAGAATATTGGCACAATTAATGCCACTTCTCCGGTTCGCCTGGTTTCAAAACCCGCACGTGAAGCGCACGGAATCTCCGTACCTTTCGTTACAGTAATATCCGTTTTACCGCATTTCGGGTCGTATCGTGTTGCTGTGCGAACAAATAATTGCTAAGGTCAGGACATTTTGACAGTTTACTGAATATAGCGCAAGCTGAACATCCTTCTGTGGTGATGTGAGGCGATCCAGTTATCTTCAGGTCACACATACTTCCAGTTTTCTCGAACTTCTTCACCACTTTAAGCACGTACCGCGCGATAACCGGGCGCATTCCTGCCTTCATTGCATTGTATTTTCCTGAAGCTGTTGCTGCGTTTAAACCGCACTCACCGTACAGCCGAATAAGCAGCGCGCGCTGAGTAATAGGCACGTTACGTGATCTCGACTGCGTTGTCTGCTCGTGCTCCATTACCTGCGGCATTGATTCAATCACATTGACAAAACTTGCAATGCATAACCTCGTCCTCAGCTGAGATGCCATCATGTGCGCATATACACGCAGCAGGTTTCTTTGTCCACGCGGACTGCACTGCGTATCCAGCAAGACACGCAGATAACTGTTGTATCAAGAAAGCCGTAGGAAAGGTAAATGTATCTCGCAAATTTGACCAAGTACAACTGAGTCAATCCCTTGTAAAACGGAGAGTCAAGCGACAGACACACGGACCAATAATAAGGTAGGATGAGTCAGCAAGCCAACCAATGAGATTGAGCCAATCGAGGTTGCTCACATGGTTACCACATTATCGTTCCCCTGCTGCTTCAACCTGGTTCGTAGCGATCAATAGGCTTCACCGTTCTCGCGGACCGACGCAGCTGACTTCGTGGTAATGGTAACTCAGCCGGGTCTTCGCGCGCGGATAGGTCCGGCTGATTAGCTGGTCCGTGAGCTGTGTTGAGTCGACGCGCGTTGACAATTAGGCCGTTCTCCAATCGACAGGTGCCCGGGTCGAGCGTACGGTCGATGCGCACGGGAGCTGAAAGCGAAAGTGTGCATTTCTTTGTCGCCTTGCTTTTGACGCGAGCGTAAGTCCCGGGCTGCATTGGTGTTGCAACTTTAGCTTAGGAATTTTGGTAAAATGATATGCGATTAGAAACTTCGGCATCTCTCGCTGATAAAAGGTTATGTGCAGCATTTAACTATGTGCGTAAGGACCTTCCAAGCATTGTGGCGTCGCGAAGGCAAACATGAATCTTTCCATCCAAACCCATCTCCATTTTGGACTGCTTGCGGCAGCAGGCCGACATCGGATACTTGGATCCAATGGAGGAGAAATTCAGTGGGGTTTCCCCGCGAAGGTTCATCCTGGCCGCGACGCCACAATTTTGTATCAAGAAGACCGTAGGGAAGGTAAAATGTATCTCGCAAAATTAACCAAGTACATCGGAGTCAATTCCTTGTGAAACGGAGAGTCAAGCGACAGACACACGGACCAAAAGTAAGGTAGGAATGAGTCAGCAAGCCAACCAATGAGATTAAGCCAATCGAGGTTGCTCACATGGTTACCACAATAACCAACGATCGCTTCAACGCCTAGCGTTGGCCAAAACCTTTAAAACTCTGCACGAAGTTATCCGGCAGCTAACAAAAGCCGGAAACACATAGCTGCTGTCTGTACTCAACTCAATCGAAGATCAAAACAGCCTCATGTCGGTGTGGCTTCATGAGATCAGGCTTATATTCAGCTGAGCCCTCCATTGTATCACTCATCTGCCGAGCATTCCATACGTCCTCACCACTTTGGTGAGAGAGCAATTCATGTCTCTGCACGCGCAGTAGCGTGTTTCGAATTTCGCTAAACATTGGGTGACAATTGGATGTTGGGGACAACAACTGTAAAGAAACGACGTTCACCGTATGCTATCCGGTGTAGGTGAATGTAAAAGCTAATCGACCATCTTCCGTCAGCCTTGGTGCAAATTTGATTTTCCAAAATATTTTCTTTAGGAATATTAAAATTTTATCGGGGTGTCTTTAACTTCGCGCAGGTGCTTGCTTTTGCATCCATGCGTTGCAACATTTACCTCAACATTTTCCCCATAGCCTAATATAATCATTGTTTTGAATTTTTGTATTTGGCATCTAGGATACTGATTTTTACCTGGCTGCCTCGTCGTAAACCTTGCGGTTTTTACAAGGAAATTCTGGCTAACAGATTCCATTTGACGCATGTCCTCAGCGCTTAATACTCAATCGCTGCCGAAAATTCCACCACCGCTCTCTTGATAAAAATATTTTATATTTACCTAGGTTGGATTAATTCAATCACTGAAGTATTCATTAATTATATTTAACGATTATCCTCTCATCAGGCCAAGTAACAATTGACGGATTAATGGGAACCTGCGCGCAACGAAATCGTCCAGCTTGGCAAAAGAACTGCATTGGTTGCTACTCACAAGGATGAGTTAGCTTGTTCTGATGCAACTGGTAGCAATGATTTTGGTTTGGAAAATGAGTGTTACCAAACATCATTTCCATTATGAATTCTCTTTGATTCGAGCACGAATCAGCATCACTGCAATCAAGGATAATGCACAGCTAAGCTCCAAGTCGTCTTCATATTTACGCAACTTCGAAACTTCCGTATATTGTCCAATAATGTATGTCCATCAAAAGAAAACAGCTAACTTCTGAGCTTAATCAGTACTTTCAAGCTACCTACCTAACTTTGTTTCGGTGTTTGCTATGTAACCTGTTATCTTCCCACCGGAGATCCTTCCCTTCTTTTATTGTGGCATTGCAATCGTGTTCTACCATCACATTTGCATAATTAGCCATTAGGATTCTGGGCACGACAAACACTTGTCAACGAACTTATCTACGAACTTGTCAAAGCATACGTACATTTTGAGATCCCGTTCTGCGAATAAGTTAGAAAGACATCTAAAGTTTCGATTATCATATGTATCGACTCTTTCCAGCCAGTTTACTTACTGTGTTTACTACGCTACCCATTTTTCATTCCGCGTCACAGGGTCCCTAATAATCAAAATTCTTGTTTATTTTATCAGCAATTTGAACGGCAGGAACGGTTGTTGTTTGCAACTGCATCTGACAGTGTATTTCCGTTTTTAATCGCTCTCTCTACACTTTAAAGGCCATTAAATCTGACGTGGTTGTCCAATGGAAAATGCGTCGATTCATAGATCTACATGAAGTTACTTAAGATCTGTTAGATGTATTGCATGGTAACAACCCCTCCGTAATATCGCATTCACTAACCAAATAATGGAACCCCTTGTTCCATGGGCGGGAAACGCCTTAATGCTAATAACTGATGCGTCCACGCAAAGTCACACATCAGTCACACACCCACACTTTGCCGTTTGTGAGCAATCGATTAGCTCGCACGAACTTTTATGTGGTGAAGCGCCCAAAAAAGTGTTTATTACAAACGCATTCAAATGCATCCCAATTTCCTTTATGCAAGTGATTGCAAACAATAAGGGTATGTGGTGATGCTACATGATCGTAGCTAAATATGAGGTTTTATATTGGATATATAGGGGGCCTACATCTTCGACAGAACGGACTGCTACCTGAAGGCAACTCGCCGAAAATTCGAAAATTATCGCAATGATTGATCAGAAAATTGTTCGAAACATGGATGAGACAAAGTGATGCGTGAGAGATATGATCACTATTCCGGTAACGTTAACACACTATGTGTACATGTGCAGACCGAAACTCACCACTGATGTTGAAGGCTGAATGATAGAGGTGGCCAAAACATAGATATTTTAGATTGTGGTTTCATGCAACATACAAAACTGATCGCGTTTATTGTATTTCCATCGGCTTATTTCTAAATCCAAGCCCTCAATTTGTGCAGCGTAAATTTGTTTGTTGTTGATTCCATATCTACATCTGTCTCAGCATTGCTCCTGGATCATCCCTTGGTCAACCTTGTTCGCAAATGAACAATACCATTTGGCTTCGGATTTCGCGAATTGTTGAGTATTTTCATACATCTTTAGGATCACTATCCCTGGAGTTGTTCTGTCATAGCCTTGCATATGGAGCGAACATCCTACTGAGAAGCAGAATATTCTTGATTTTTGTAGAGTATTGAGGCGCTGTGACGCGTCCCCTCTCATGAACGTTTCGAGCACGCAACGCACGTGTTTACTAATCCTTCTATGTTGATCGTAATTGTCCCAAATGCGTTATAATATATTCCTTGTTTATCTGAATACTAAGCAATATCCTTGCAGTGCAGGTAGATAAGTACATGGATTGTGCACGACGGGTGCTTAATATTTTTGCTTTCGAGCCACATATATCTTTAAGTTCTCTGATTGACAGAAAGATAAAGTGCTTTCGAATTCCGTTCCCGCAGTAAATGGGAATTCGTCTCATTGCCTTGGGCCAAATATAACTTGATTTCGAGTACAGCTTCAATCACACATAACAAATCGTAGTAGGACAAAAACGTATCATGTGCAAGAAATTCACTACAAAAGTTGTTGTTATACCTCATATGCAACTGTGTTGCAAGTGGTTATGAAATGGCAAGAATTTTGCGCTTCCAAATAATTCATTTTCCAAAAGAATTAGAAAAATTTATTATAATTTGTTAGGCCGCTTTTCGATTTATCGACTGAGGTGCATAACTGAGTGTTACTCGAGAGTGTTAAATGAAATAGCTTCCACCGACGAAACTCCTATTCCCATTACGGTCCCGAGGCAAAAAACTACAGCATAGCATATCGCTAATGAAATGTAAAATCCGTGTTTGTTGCGAAAAAAGTTTAATTTTTATGGAGCTACAAAATACTGAAGTACTCAGTTTACACTCCAAATTTTAACCCCAATTCTAACCGGCAACCTTTTATGTAAGTCTACGAGAGTTATTGAATTGGGGCGATGAAAATGGGCACAAGATTTCCCTAAAAAACTTGCATAAAAGAAAACAACGCATTTAAATTTATAAATTTTTTAAATATTTGTTGATACGGATATGCCAAATAACTAGTGGATTGCAGTCAGCATTTAAATATCGCTCACATGTAAGTCAGCATGAAGTAAGAAGTAAAATCTTTTTCAGACGAATAACTGCGATGGGCCTTGACACCAAATTCAGTCAGTAAGGCGGAGGAAGGTTACTTAGCGCTTCATTACCCGAAAGATAATGGCAAACGTCGGTCATTTACGGTTGTCGTCCCCAACATCCAATTATCACCCAATGTTTAGCGAAATTCGAAACACGCTACTGCGCATGCAGAGACATGTATTGATCTCTCACATAGTGGTGAGGACGTATGGAATGCTCGGCAGAAGAGTGATATAATGGAGAGCTCAGCTGTATGCAAGCGTGACCTCGTAAAGCCACACCGACATGAGGCTGTTTTGATCCTTGTTTGAGTTAAGTACAGAGAGCAGCTATGTGTTTCCGGCGTTCGTTAGCTGCCGGATAACTTCGTGCAGAGTTTTGAAGGTAATGGCCAACGGTAGGCGCTGAAGCGATCGTTGGTTATTGTGGTAACCATGTGAGCAACCTCGATTGGCTCAATCTCATTGGTTGGCTTGCTGACTCATCCTACCTTATTATTGGTCCGTGTGTCTGTCGCTTGACTCTCCGTTTTACAAGGGATTGACTCAGTTGTACTTGGTCAAATTTGCGAGATACATTTACCTTTCCTACGGCTTTCTTGATACAACAGTTATCTGCGTGTCTTGCTGGATACGCAGTGCAGTCCGCGTGGACAAAGAAACCTGCTGCGTGTATATGCGCACATGATGGCATCTCAGCTGAGGACGAGGTTATGCATTGCAAGTTTTGTCAATGTGATTGAATCAATGCCGCAGGTAATGGAGCACGAGCAGACAACGCAGTCGAGATCACGTAACGTGCCTATTACTCAGCGCGCGCTGCTTATTCGGCTGTACGGTGAGTGCGGTTTAAACGCAGCAACAGCTTCAGGAAAATACAATGCAATGAAGGCAGGAATGCGCCCGGTTATCGCGCGGTACGTGCTTAAAGTGGTGAAGAAGTTCGAGAAAACTGGAAGTATGTGTGACCTGAAGATAACTGGATCGCCTCACATCACCACAGAAGGATGTTCAGCTTGCGCTATATTCAGTAAACTGTCAAAATGTCCTGACCTTAGCAATTATTTGTTCGCACAGCAACACGATACGACCCGAAATGCGGTAAAACGGATATTACTGTAACGAAAGGTACGGAGATTCCGTGCGCTTCACGTGCGGGTTTTGAAACCAGGCGAACCGGAGAAGTGGCATTAATTGTGCCAATATTCTCTAGATCACGGGGATATTCGTTCTGTTATCTTCACCGATGAGGCATTGTTTCTTCTGCATGGAACAATGCAATATCACACTTGGGTTGTCAGCAACCCACGAAAAGCTACCGCATCACGTATGCATCATAGTGTACAACTGATTGTTTGGGCTGGAGTAACAAGTCAGAATATTATTGTACTAATGAGTAGTGAGGTTTTTGGTATAATGCAGCTAATTCATCATCGCCCACTCCCAAACAGCAGGATTAGGCTAATCTGGAAGAGCACCACACGCCGGCGTTTCGATCTTTTGGGTCTCGTCAGTGGTGCGTCTCCCAGCGGAACCCTGCCGGATTCCGCCCCCACGACTTCAGGGTGCCAGCAGGCGCACCAATGACGAGACCCAAAAGGTCGAAACGCCGGCGTCTGGTGCTTTTCCAGATTGGCATAATCCTGCTGATTGGGAGTGGGCGATGATGAATTAGCTGCATTAAGTCAGAATATCTTGGGTCCATGTTTCTTTTCCGGGTATGTGACCGGTAGGTTGTTGTTTCGAAGTACTTAAGGCTTATCTTTTTTCTAGCATCGCCGTATTTGGAAATGCTGTGAACATTTGTGCTTCCCCAGTTGGAGGTCGAAGGCGCATGCGGCATAGTGTATCTGCACATTCGGTTAATACGTTGCGTGCTTACGTCATCGACAAATTTGTCTACCATTGGATCGAACGTGGTGGACCAATGGAGTGGCCTGGTCGCTCACAAAATTTGAGCCCCATGGACTTTCTGCCATGGGGCAATCTGAAGCGTCCAGTGTGAAAACAAGCCAGAGTATATTGGACCAATTGAAGGCAAATATTTCGAACGAATGTCGCGCGATCACGAGGGAAATATTGAAGAACGTTCTCGGCAATTGCATCAAGTGGTTTTTGCACTGCAAACAGAACGCCGGCGAACATTTTGAACATATCGTTTACTAGCATAGATGATGGTTCAAATACATTTCTGTAAATATATTTATCCCCTTTCACGAGTGTGTTAACGGCTAAACTGGTCCGTTGGCAAATGTTACTAATGATGCATCCGGTCGGATAGAATACTTAACATCCAGGCTGTCA